CTAGGCTAGAATTCCATATCTGTCACTTACTACCAGTGTTACCCTAAGGAAATCACTTTATAAGTCTGCCTTACTTTGCAAATCTGTAAAATGAGGGTATTAGCCTGGGTAACCTTCCAAGGTGCCTTATAACTCTAAATATGTAATCCTGTAATAAGAGTAAAAAAATAGGTGGCAGTTAAATCGTCACAGAGTCAGGGAATTTGAGAGCTGGAAGAGATAGTAATGGCCATCTACTCCTACCCATACATGAAAGGATCCAGCACTGCGACCTATCCAACAAATAGCCATCCAGCCTCCAACTTTAAGAGCTCCAAGAATGGGTCACTCACCACCGCTCAAGACTTCCCTTTCCACTTTTGGACAATACTACTTTTTATGAGCCTAAATTATACTCTTTGAAACAACCACTCATTGCTCCTGATGTCTGCCTCAGGGGCCAGACAGAGCTAATTTATTCTCTTCTACTTTTGATGACAGATCTTCACATACTTCAAGTTGGCTATCATGGTGCCCTAAAGTCTTCCTTTTTTTTTCAAGCTAAATATCCCCAGCTCCTTCTACTGATTCTCATATGACATGGTCTTGAGGATGAGGACCTTCACCAGCATGGTTGCTCTTCTCTGGATTCTCTCTATGATGTGCTCTGTTATACCATTTTAAGCTGTGGTGCCCAGAACTGCACAAAATACCCTAGATGAAGTTTAATGAAGGTGGAGAAATACTCTCCACCCCTCCACTCCAATCCCTTCCTCTGATTGGCTAATTCTTTCCAATACCTGTTAAAAACAATTTTAATATTCTTTATTTTCAAATTTTGATTTTCAAATTCTCTCCCTCCCTCCCTGCCCTCCCCTCCAAATTGAGAAGGCAAGCAATTTGACATAGGTTATATACGTGTAGTCAGGCAAAACACATTTCCATGTAAGTCATGCTGTGAAAGAAAGCACAGACAAACCCAAGAAAAATAAAGTAAAGAAAAAGTATCTTTGATCTACATTCAGACTCCATCAGTTCTTTCTTTGAGGATGAATAGTATTTTTTTTTATCATAAGTCCTTCAGAATTGTCTTGGATCATTGTATTGCTGTGAATAGCTAAGTTATTCACAGTTGATCACCATACAATATTACTGTTACTGTATCCCTGTCCTCCTGGTTCTGCTCATTTCACATTGCATCAATTCATCTAAGTCTTTCCAGGCTTTTCTGAGAGCATCCTGCTTGTCATTTCTTATAGCATAATAGAATTCCATCACAATCATATACAATGACTTGTTCAGCCATTCCCCAATTGATGGACATCCCCTTAATGTCCAATTCTTTGTTACCACCAAAAGAGCTGCTATAAATAGCTTTAAACATGTAGGTCCTTTTCCTTTTTCTTTATTTTTTTTTTAAATTTCTTTGGGAAACAGACCTAGTAGTGTTATTGCTTGGTCAAAGGATATACATTTATCATTTTCCTTTTCCGTCATATTAGCCAAGCTGATAGTTGTGGGGTGGTAGCTCAGAATCAAAACCTCCATTTTAAGGAAAATCCTAGGCCAGGCTCATTCCTCTTCAGGCTCAATGACTCTCCAGACTTTCTCTCCCATGCCCTACTGGGGCACCCACCTCTCTCCTGCTTTCAGCTTTCTTTGATGTGATGTCTTCTCCCATTAGAATGTAAACTTCTCCTTTATTTCTGCTTGCTTTGTATTCCCAGTACTTAGCACATTACCTGGCATATAGTTGTTATTTGACCTTCGTTTTTGAAGAGGACCAATGATATCACAGGTGACATCTTGACTCCTGTATGAATTGGATTTAAGTGAGGCAGAGTTGCATAAAGTGATCAGCTTTACCCTCTCTTCCAGAGTCATTGATGTGGCCCAGGATGTAGTGGATGACCTTGAAGCCTTTGATACCTGACCAAGCTCTAAGTGCTCCACAGTGCCTGTTTCAGTTGCCTTCTTCTGTTGGAACAAATCATTCTCATCCACCCATTTCATAGGGGGAAGTCTTCACATGCTTGGGGTATACCTCCCCCTAATTCACCCACAGGTTTGAGGCCTGTTGGTTACCGTCACCCTGGTTCAGCCCATCTGCTGAGATGATTTGCCAGGGGGTGGCCACTGTGCATGCTGCAGTTTCTTGGAGTCACAGGTGAGAGCTGAGCAGAACTTATGGGGAAGGCTAGTCCCTCTGATATGAGGGTTGCTTAGCCCTTTTCAGTACTGCTCATTCTTCTACCTTTGGTGTTCACCTGGCACATAGTAAGCATTTAATAAATGCTTGTTAACTTGACTCGAGTCCACCTATCCAACCAATTCTGCATTTACCTAATTACATTATCACCTAATCCACATCTCACCAAAAACCTTACTAAAATCTAAGCATATCGTATACTTATATATACATAAGTGTAAGTATATAGTATACTTATATATACATATAGATGCACAACATCCCATTCATCAACTGGATCACATATACAGCAAAAAAGGAACTGAAAAGGGCTCTACGTTTCATTCTAAAGGAAATTGTGGTCCACTGAAGATTCTTGAATGGGAGGAGATATGATGAGATTTGTATTTGTGGAACATCAATTTGGCAATTGTGTAGAGAATGAGTTGGATAGCGGTGATACTAGGAACATGGAGATAAATTCAAAGGCTTTTGTAACCATCCACTTGAGAAATGAGGAAAATCTGAACTAGAGTAGAAGTTTTAAGAATGGAGAAGGGGGTATTAATTTAAAAAAGATTGTGTAGATTCAAAAAGAGTCAGCAAATGATTGGTTATGGGTAAGTAGAAGAGACAAGAATAAAGAGTGACTCTGATTTTGTGTACTTGTGTGAACTCGTGGTTTCCTCCAAGAAACCAGTGAAGTTTGGAGGAGAGATAGGTTTTGGGAGGTATAGGGAATATAATGATTCCCATTTTGAACATGTGATGTTTGTGAAGTGTATGGGTTTGGAAGTCATCTGTGTAGTATGTGCCCATCCCGCCTCCCCAAAGACACATAAGCTTCCATCAATGTTACCCCAGATTACAGAGGTGTGTGTGAGTCAGTATCCACTCAGAACTACAGCACATCATCTATGTTTATTTTACCAGTGAGAGACCACATTAGCAATAAGTAAAATGCATTTAATGAAATGTTTAGCAAGAAAATGACAGTAACAATTCCCTCCATATACAATAAAATTATTTTCTTTTTTAAAAATTCATTAGTAATCTTTTTATCATTGTTGTTCAGTTGTGTCTGACTCTGTATCCCATTTGGGGTTTTCTTGGTAAAGATACTGGAGTGATTTGCCATTTCCTTCTCCAGTTCATTTTATAGATGAGGAAACTGAGGCAAAAAGGGGTAAGTGACTTGTCCAGGGTCATACAACTAGTGTCTGATTTGAAGTTAGTTTTGAACTCAGGTCTTCCTGACTCCAGTTCCTACACTGAATCCACTGTACCACCTAGCTGTCCCTTAGTAACCTCGGAGAGTTACTTCAGTGGAGTGGTAGGGTGGGAAGCCTGATTGTAAAGGCTAAAGAGTGAGGAGATATGGGCTTTTGGGGAATTTACTATGCAAGTGAAAAGATAAGCACTTGAGGGGATGACAGGATCAATGGCTCTTCAAGAATGGAGTAGACTTGAGTTTATTTGTAGACAGCAGAAAAGGAACTAGTGGCATCTTCACGGAATGGTGATTCTGTGGGCTATCAGGCACATGGCGTTTACCTATTGGCATCATTGAATTCCATCAGTACTAGGAATACATAATTGGACTTTTGAGCACATATCAATTTGGAGTTTATTTTTGACATATGGTATTAGTTGCTGTTACAAAACTACTAACTATTAAAGGGATTTTCTTTTTTCTCTGGTAGTTCTTGTCATACAGGGAGTCCTTACCCAAGTCTTTTCTGATTTTTGTTTTTTTTGTCTTGCTTATCTAACCCTATATGTATTACTGATTTATTTTTTCATTCTTTGACTAGTGTCAAATCATTCTGATGATTAGCATTTTATATTATAGTTTGAGAGCTGTTACTTCAAGGCCTCCTTGATTTCTAGTTTTTAAAAAAATTACATGATTATGTGGCTTATATCAGATTATATGCCTTCTTGGGGAGGGGGGATGGGAGGGAAGGGGGAAAATTTAGAACTCAAAATCTTGTAAAAGTGAATGCTGAAAACTAAAAATAAATGAATTTAAGAAAACAAACAAAAAATTACATGATTGAACTTTTAAAGAAGCACAGATTTTATACTGCTGCTATAGCTAGGAATAAATATAGAACAGCTACGAAAAATAGGCTCTGTATGAAGGACAGGATTAAATGTGGTACCTTATTCCCTGGGCTTAAAATAGAAATGTTTCTGTTATTTGTATAAAAGCTAGAATGAAGACATTATTCATATGTATATAATCTTTAAGACTCCCATGTGACTGACTTAGCTACATTTCTGGGGAAGCATTTCAAGGCAGCTAGGTAGTGCAGTGGATAGAGTGCCAGGTGTAGAGACAGGACCTTGCTGATTTCAAATCTGGCCTCAAACAGTAGCTATATGGTCCTGGACAAGTCACTTAACCTTGTTAGCCTCAGTTCCTCATCTATAAAATGAGCTGGAGAAGGAAATGGCAAACCACCTGAGTATCTTTGCCAAGAAAACCCCAAATGGAGTAATGAAGAGTCAGACCCAACTGAGAAGTCTGAACAATGTGCCAGGCACTGTTCTAAGCACACAAAGAAAGGCAAAAGACTGTCCCTGCCCTCAAGGAGTTTACAATCTAATTGGGGAAGGCAACATAGAAGAGTAAACAGACGGGTGGGTGAGTACATAAAGAAAGTACCTGGAAGGTGTAGTAGGTGGATAGATCACCAGCCCTGGAGTTAGGAGGACATAAGTTCAAATCTGGCCTCAGACACATAACACTTACTAGTTGTGTGACCCTGGGCAAGTCACTTGACCCCAATTGCCTCACTAAAAAAAAAAAAAAAAAAAGGACCTGGAGAGGAACCATGATAGAGAAGTAGGGAGGGCAACTGGGTGGGAAATGAAAAGATGGCTGACCTGGTCTCCCTCCTTAAATGGAGGTTCTAAGAAGAGAATTCTCCACCCTGCAATCAAAGGGAAGGAAGGGCCCCAGAAGCATAAGGTACTAATGAAGTGTGACTTTCAGGGCTGATTTGATCTTGCAGATGAAAAGATGTTTTTTCCCTTATCTTTCTTCCCTCAGATATGAGAATCTCATTCTATAACATTGGTCAATGTGTTTTCCCAGAAGCCCATAGGTCATAAAAGAAACCCAAAGAAGAGCTGTATGTAATTATAGGACAAAGAAAACATAATTCATGGCAAAGCTCATGGAAAACAATGACACCCTCGCAATGAGCACCCCAGCTTCTGAGGCAGTATAGCTTCAGTCCGCTTTGAGCTGAGCACATGGCTGGGCTCCCCATGGGTGTTTCCTTTCTTACTTCCTCAGTTCATTGTTGCTCCTGTTGTCTTCCATCTCCCTCAGCAGATAGCATTGGTGTCCTTTCCTGCCATTCCTCTGTAAGCAGTTTTTTGTAGCATGTGTAGATTCTCAAGAGTTGCTAGTCCTCGGCTAGAGAAAAAAAACAAAACAAAACACTTCTTTGTTGGGGCCACCATCTGAATCTTGCAGAGGGGAGTACTCCTGGTTCTGGCTCCTATAGACCTCTATCAGCGATCCCACAATGGGTGTGTCTAAGCTGTTCAAAATTCCACTTAACTTTTAGCCAGTTCTTTCCCAATTTGGCAGGAAATGTCCCAGAGGACAGAGGGAAGACATTATTCAAATTGTCTGGTTCTTTCATTGTATCTAAGGTAAGGAGGATAAATGGGGAGGCTAGAAATGAGGAAATTTGAAGGAAAAGGTGAAAAAAATAGACCATACAACATGTGAAGAGGATATGGTTCCAAATATTGCCCCCCCCCCCCCGGTTGCTCCATTATTATATATCCCATCAGTCCAGGGCCCAGCCCATACACAGTCAAGGTTTAGGGTTCTCAGGATGTGCTCGAACATCAACAAGGATTTCTGAATCCTGTGGACAACCACATCTATATCTTCTTACACTCTGAGGAAGTGGGTCCTAGGAATACAGAAGCAGCATGTCAAGATGGGCATGGTTCACTCTTGGGTTACAAAGTCAGGGGTTGATCGCCCTTAAGTTGAGAAATAGCCAGGGAAAGTCAGCTGTCAGTTTCCCCTTTGTAAGGGGCCTTTTGGTAATGAAAATGCAATCAATTTGGGAAAGAGATTTCTTCATTCTACTAGAAGAGTGTGATATAACAAAAAATGACGTGGAATTTTGAACAACTTAGACACACCCATTGTGGGATGGCTGACAGAGGTCTATAGAAGTCAGTCTAATTTCCATCCTGGGAAATGATTAAATCTGGAAGGGACCTTAGAGATAACCTAATTTCATGGTGTCCAATCTGTAGATCAAATGCATCCTGACTACAGGATATGGCCCATCTGAGAGAAATGTCTTATGCTTATTTAGCATTTATTCTGAAAATACTCATATATGCATAGGTTGTCTCCTTGGATAGAATGTAGAGGACTGGGACGCTCATTTTTTTTTTTTTATCCCCAGCACCTAGTATAGTGCCTGGCACATGGTAGGTACTTAATAAATGCTTATTGATTAAAATTTTTAGAAAAAAAAATTACCTAAACATTTTCTGTTTACTTTATTGGGCTCCCTGTTACTTTCAGGATAAAATCTAAAATCCTGTTTGGCTTTTAAAGTCCTTCACAGCCTGGTCCCTTCCTATGTTTCAATCTTCTTACTCTTTACTCTCCTCCACGCGTAATGCCATCCTGTGACACTGACCTCCTCACTGTTCTTTATAGTCAACATTCCATCTCCTGACTGCATTTTCCTTGGCTGTCTCCCACGCCCAGAATTCCACACCCATCCCCCCCCCCCCCCCCGGGCAATTGGGTTTCAGTGACTTGCCCAGGGTCACATAACTAGTAAGTGTCAAGTGTCTGAAGTTGGATTTGAACCCAGGTCCTCCTGACTCTAGGGCTGGTGCTCTGTCCACTGCTTTCCCAGCTGCCCTCTGGAATTCTTTCTTTGTTCGTCTCCTCTCCTGGCTTCCCTGACTTCCTTCAGGTCCCCACCAAAACCCCACCTGCAAGAAGCCTTTTCTGATTCCTCCTTAAAGCAAGTGCCCTCCCTCTGAGAATATCTCCCATTTTTATTATCTGTATATTTTTCATGCATAATTGTTTGCATGTCAAATCCCTTGTTATCCCTTTTTCCTAGAGAGGAGGGACTAGTTTGCTTTTTTTATTTTGGCCTTTCTTTGTATCCACAGTACTTAGCACACAGTTCCAGTATAGAGTAGGTACTTAATAAATGCTCTTTGATTTGACCTATACACTAACTTACTTTTAGCGGGAGTGGGGGTGGGGGAGCAGGTTTTAAGGGCAAATAGGAGAGGTGTTCCAATTTGTAATTTTATTAACTTAGGAAACTCCTTGTGAAGAAACTCCCTCTATCAATACAGATTGGCAACCATTCTCCGCAGCTTAAAGTCTTAGAGTGTTTTCTCTGGGCAGTGCGAAGCTTGCTGACTTGTCCTGGGTCTCACCGTCAAGCTAAGGCCCAATGTAGTAGAGAGGTAGTCTTGGAGTCAGGAAGACCTGGGTTCTAGCCTTGTTGCTGAGCCATGCGGAATGAACTACCCTAACTACCTGAAGTGCCTCGCTATGTGGCAATGTCCAGGGAGCTCTGTGAAAATACTTTTTTTTTTTTCATGAATCAGCTGAAATGGAAGCTGAAAGCCATCACTAAGGATGAAAACCTGGAGTAACAATGTGCCCTGATGGACACACCCTGTTATTCTAGAGATCAATTCGTCCTGTTGAATATCACTTTCCTCATTGACTAAATCATTATTGCCCAAAAACTAGTAATAAGTTATATAATTCTGTATTTTATATGAATAAAGTTGATAAAAAAGTTTTTGTATTACTGATTTTTAAAAATCCATATGTTCTACACAGGGAAGCTAAGTGGCACAGTGGATAGAATGCTGGGCCTGGAGTCAGGAAGACTCATCTTTCTGAGTTCAAATCCAGCCTTAGACACTTACTTGCTGTGTGACCTTGGGCAAGTCATTTAATTCTGTTTGTCTCAGTTTCCTCATCCGTAAAATGAACTAGAGAAGGAAAAGGCAAACCACTCCAGTATCTTTGCCAAGAAAACCCCAAATAGGTCCATGAAGAGATGGACTTGACTAAATTGTCTATACATGTGGATCCCTTCTTTCCAGTGAAATACAGTATATTTTCCCCCAGGAATAGCCTTCAACATTTAATACTCTCCTAAGGCTAGCATGAGTTAAAGAAATATTTTTAAGAGTGAAGTGTCCAAACCTGACAATCCATGCAAATCTAAAACTATGGTTCTGGACTATGGGTTACAAAGGATAAGGTAGAAATTAAAGAGGTAAATTTAACTCACTTTATTACCAACTCTAGATAAGGGGTCAAATGGTTGTGATTAGGCCTGTTATGACATCTTGAAGAGGGTTTGGAGAATCTGCCCTAAACAATAATGACATAAGCAAGTAAATAATGATATAAGCAGCATGGTGTGGAGGACAGTCAGAAAGGCCTGTGCTGTAGGCCAGGCCAGTGGTGGAAATGGCGAAGCTTCCTCTCATTTCCACTTGACCAATTGCAGCTGTTGTGAGCCAAGAAGCAATTGGGCAATTTAAGTTAACTTTACCCCGGAATGGGGTGCCCTGGAATGGGATGATCCGGAATCCAGCTGTCGGCCTTTTAGGCAGGGAGAAATTAAGAATAACTTTAGGATTTTGTTGGAGGTGTGCCTGAGACCCTAGGGAATTTTCTTGCCAACTGTTTTCATTTCCTTGCCAATGATTTTTACCTAGTTTTCTTTCCCAGGCTTTTTGTTTTAAACCACCTTGGGAATTGCTTTTTGTTAAGGGTTATCAGAAATGCTCTTATTGAAAGAATTAAATTATTTATCTGAATCCTCTGGTTTTGAGTGAGCCATTGCACGAGACTTAGAACCACAAGGACAACCTGGGTTTAAACCCTGCCTCTGATGCATTTTGGTTTTGGGACTCCAAGCAATGTTAGACAATAATTCTCATCTATATTGGTAGAGGAATTTCTACATAAATGAAATCAGAGAGTTGGACAAAATCACAATAAAAACCCACATCTATATAGTACTTTGGTATTAATAAAGCACTTTCTTCACAACAAGCCTCTGAGGCATGTAGAGTTATTATTACATTATATACTATATAACATTGTGCATTATATAATAATTATATTATATATAATATAGATTGCATAATGTATAATATAATATAATAATACTGTCTATATGTTAGAGGGTCATCTGCAATTTTCAGGAAACAAGACCAAGAGGTTAATTGATTTTCCAAAGACCAACCCCCCCCCCCCCCCCCCCGCAAACATTCTCCTCCTTCCCCCTGTTAGTAAACACTAAGAAATGTCTGAGAGGTTAAGTGACTTGCATAACGTGAACTAGCTAGTACGTGATGATCTTGAACTTAACTAGGTCTTCTGAATCTTGAGTCCAAAATTCTTTCCAGTACACTATCTCCCTCTCCCTCAATTAAATAATTGCTTCCCACATTAACTCCCCTGTCTAATACCAATAATCGTTCTATCTAAAGTATCCTTGCTTGTGTCCCAAATCCTGCTTAGATCCTCTGCTTCTATTCTCATGCTTTTTCATACACTCAAATGGATATGATTTTTTGTGTAAGCAGTTTAGGGAGTTTGTATGGTGTTTTTATGAGTTATTCCTCAATTCTAACAAGAACACAAGCCCCAGGAGAAAATGGTAATTTTTTTTTTTCATTTTAAACATTTCCATTTGAAAATGAAGGTATTTTTTTTCAGTGCCAAAGAATCATTTGTGCATCCAAAACTGCTTTTTCACCAAGAAAAATGACTGGTTTTGCCCAACAGGAGGGGGGCAAGATTGGGCTGATTGAATTTAGAAAACCCACTTAAGGCGTGGAGGCTGTTGGCTATGTATCTTGCTGCTGGTTGTTTTAGGGCTGGGCATTCCTCAGCTGGCCTCCTGACCAGCTGCTAAGCTGGAAAAGGGGACTACAGCTCCCAGGTAACCCACATGGCAGAGAACAGTCTGAGAATTCATTTGGAGAAGAGGGGGAAGGGGAAGAATTTATGAAATGAAATGAACACAGTCATGAGATAGATCACTCTAAACCCAGGTCTCCAGAGCCACTGCTTTTGAAAATGAAGACAGGGGAATATGGAGTGATCATCAGGCAGAAAACTCTGCTTTTAGCCATCCTCAGGGTTAGTGTTTGGTGGAGTGTGTGTGTGTGTGTGTGTGTGTGTGTGTGTACGCAAGTGTGTTGTGTTTTTCATCTTTTTATTTTTTTTTTCTGTAGCAAAGCCAGCTCATCCTCTCTCTGATGTCTGCTCTGCATCCTCTTAGTAAGGCTAGCTCAAGATGGAATAGCTCTCAGCATTGCTCTCAGAGTGGAATTTTACCTAAATGTCTTTAGAGAGCCCTTATTGCACTG